GAACCAGCCTGCGAGCTTGAACCTGACCGAGGTTCTCGAGGAGAACGAAAAAGAAAGACACAGAAACAGGCGAACATCCTGGGGTTCAGCTCGCCCTTTGACCTAGGGCCTCAGACGACTGGAGCGCGTTGGCTTTATTCACTCAGACGCAGATTCGAGCAATCAGGGGTCCACAGGATCCATCTGCCTCACACCCCCGGTATTTCTCCGGGTAAACAACCTCACCTCGGGTGTGGTTACTTTTCCCTGCAGCTTGTTCGCGCACTTGAACACCCTTTCTGCTCAGTGCTCCCGGAGAAGGGCAATTAGGCCGCAATCTTCCCATGTGGGCTCCCACACCTTTCGTGTATTTTAGCCCACGTGAAAACATCTATTCAGCTATCCTTAATTACAAATGAAAATTAGTGTTTCTGGGTGCAGAGCTATACTGCGCAAGAACATCCCTGCGTTCCCAAACCGGCACAGAACATACGCTCTCATCCCTTTAAAACGGCAGAGAAAACCTTGAAGATGATGTCAAAACGACTTCACTTATCAAATGGAAATTGCGTTCTTATTTTTAATAGGGTTCACTGTTTGAAAATCCCTCTCCTGGTGTATATTTGAACATATCAACAAATTTAATGTTAGTCTAAAAGAAACAAAGTCAATTTCTTCATAATTTGTGTTATATGTTTGCTTTTCACTTATGCCCCCAAACTGGTACAACTAAGAACTAAATCAGACTTTGAGGCTAACTAGAGAAGGGAGTAGCTCTTCATCCTCACATCTCAGAATTGTCTTCATTATTCCCCAGTGCCAGTCTTGCTCAAATAAAGCCCGAATTCATAGTAGAATAGGAGAGACGTCTGACAAAAGCCTAAGACTGTGAACACAGTGGCCATGAACCTGTATTCTTGTGCTCTGTTCGTTTTCAAAAACAGGCAGCAAAGTACAACTTTTACTTTGGAAATGTGGTCAGCCTAAAAACAAATCAAAAAGTGAGTATGGCAAAGTACAAATAAAGAGCAAAGTACAGAACCGATAGAAGCAAACGAGATGGATGTTTTGTGAGGGAAGTAGGGAGGGTAAAATGATTTATGATATGTCACTTTCATGCAGCAAATATCAATAATGAATAAGGAAGAAAAATATAAACATTGTATGGCATAAACATGAACTAAAAATAGCAGCAGTAAGGATGAAACTGGGGAAAGGGTTTTAGTGGAGGTAGAGGGAGGGAAGGGGAAGGGATTTAAAAAAATCAACCTGTGTTACAGACGTGCATCCGCTGTCGAAGAGGACTGTAAACTTCTTGTACAGCAAACGTGTATACAAACAAAGAAGCAACTAGGCGTTCCCCACTCAAGTTAACAATTCATTAACCACAACACCCGTTTGTTATTTAAGTTGTCTTTTTATTGGATACACAGCAACAAGTTTAAGCCTTACATCCTGGGTTCTTTGAAGAAATGCTTTAAATCAACTTCAAATATGATCTAAGTATCTCCCTCACCGCCAACATGCTGTTTGAAAGCTTGATTTTTTGACAGATATAAGGAGCTTTATGCCGGGGATTTAGCTCAGCGGTTCGGCGGCCTGCCCTGCAAGCGCAAGGACCCGAGTTCCATCCCCGGTACCGCCCCCTCCAGCAAAAAAAAAAGAGCTTTATTATTTTATTAGTAATGTTTGCGGTTCGTAACGCTGATTTTCACGGAGGAGAGTTGACACGTGTGCAGAACATATCTTAATTCTTTCGTATCTCCCTCCCCTCCCTCTCTTGCGCCACCCTCCATCTCCTGGAAACCCTGAGTTAAGGTATTAGTGTACATATTGGGTGGCAAGGAAAATGCAATAAACAACAAATTATCCCGTGATACACACAACTTGTACAAAACTCTGCTACATCAGGTAGTTTTTCGCTTCCTTTTCAGAAGTTGTGTCGGGTTTCTGCCAACTCACTTTATTTTGCCTTGACACTTTTGGCTGACGTATATTTGTGAGTCAGTTTATTACAAAGACCTATAAAACATATAAAAATTAGATCAACCAAGATTTTGGATTCAATGTAGTACTCTCATAATCCCCATATGGCAATAGGATTAATTTACCCACTCAAATGGTGAAGGAAGCTATCTTGTCAAACACACAATTCCCAAGTTACTATCTGAAACTAACATTTCTCTAATAAAACATGGGGGAAACACTCAAAATCACAGGCACAAGAAAAGACTTCCTGATTAGAACACCAATAGTGCTGGAGACAACACCAAGAATCAACAAACAAATACATGTCAAATTCAAAAACCTCTGCATAGCAAAAGAAACATTAACATAGTTAAGAAATGGCCTCCGGAATGGGACAGTATCTCTTCCAGCTAGTCTTTCAATAGAAGATTAATATCTAGAATATATAAAGAATTCAAACAACAATACAAAAATAATCAATAAATGGACATTTGCCTTGAAAAGATGCTTCTCAAAAGAAGCACAAATGGCCAATAATTATATAAAAATGTTTGAAATCTTTAGCCATTAAGGAAATACAAATCAGAAACTACATTGAGATGGTGTCTTACCTTTGTCAGAATCCTTGTCAGAATAATTATCAAGTATACAGGTACATACTGACAAGGGTGTAGGATAAAGGAACTTTTCTAATGTGTTGGAGGGATTAAATTAGTACAATCATTGTGGAAATCAATACGAAGTTTCCTGAAAAAGCTAAGATTACACCTGACATTTGATCCAGCTATCAGACTCTATGGTATATTCCCAAATGAATTAAAGTTGCATACTGGAGTTGCATAGCGCACACCCATGTTTATGGTGGTTCAGTTCGCAATCACTCGGTTGTAGAAATATCCTAGGTGTTGGAATATTTTTCAGCCATAAAGAAGACCAAAATCACGTGATTTGCAGGAAAATGGATGGAGCCAGGAACTATTATGTTAGACGAACTAAGTCAGAGTCCGTCAAATATCACATTTTCTCATATACATAGAATCTAAAAAATGATTAATTATAGAAAACAAGGGAGAAGACACAAAGGTAGCAAACAGACTCGGAAAACAAAAAGGAGATCAAGTAAGGGGACACAGTGGGGGAGTGAAAGTGATCAAAATGCCTCGCACACATGCATGAATATGCAAACCAAAACCCATTGTTCTGTATGAATAAAAATTTTTAAAGTCTACATGTGACAACCCCAAAATACAATCAATCAAAAGCTATAGGATGACTTTTTTAATCCCAAGTAACCCAGGTTTCCTCATTTAGAGTCTATCACCTAAAAATTTCTGTCCAAGGATTGCTGCTGCCTTCAGTCCTACACCGGAGCCTATGTGCGTGGGCCACGCCTTCTCCCACATGAACCCCACGGTGTGTGCAGCACGCAGTTGAGAGATTTAGTGAGTAGCAGTGGACGCTGAAAATTCTGTCTACATTTAGAATGCATCTTCTCATATTTCCATCTTTATGATTTTGATCTGGTTGTCTCTGACTTTCATTTCCCTCTGATACCTAACAGAAGTCTCTGAGAGTGATTATAGTTAGACAATGAATGTTGCAAGATGCCAGATGTTGGGATTTACAGATTCAAAATAAGTCAGAATAGTAGTGGCAGACTTTTCTAACATATGGGATAATTTCTAACTCGATTCAATAATAATTTAAAATGTTGATGTCTTATGCTAAACATTTTCCAAACTTTTAAAAAATCTTCTTCCTCTCAATATTTTTACCATTTCCTCTGCTTATACTAGATTAATGAGTACTTAAATTTAGGGAAAAGGAGACAACTGACTGGGTAAAATTCAGTATTGTAGAGAAGATACAACAGGCCCTCTTCATTCATGGTCTCTCATCCTATGGTCAACTTCAGCCCAGATGTACTATATTACACAGAAAAGTGTAGAAATTAACAATTCACACATTTTACATTGCACATTGTACTGATGAAGTCTCCTACCATTCTATCCCGGCCCATATGTACATGAATCATGCCAGTACAGTGTACCCACCCTGCATGTGCTACCATCTGTTAATCCAGCGATGGCAAACCTTTTAGAGCTTTCAGTACTAACAAACAACCTGCTGCAGCATGCATGCCCTAAGTTTGCCACCAATGAGTTAGTCACTCAGAAGCCCTCTCGGTTATCAGATCAACTGTCCTGGAAAAGCAATGCTGGTGTTTAGTGACCCTTGTTTTGCTAAGCAAGCCCCAAAGTGCAAGAGTAGTGACGCTGGTGACTCAGGTATGGCCAAGTGACGCTGGAAAGTGCTTCCATTAAATGGAGAGATGAGGCTGGGTATAGACCCTGAGTTCAATGTCCAGGATTTGGGAGGGAGGGAGGGAGGGAAAGGGAGAGGGAGAGGGAGAGGGAGAG